AACTATTTTTCTCACTCGGAAAGTTGAATAAACTGAAACACACATCGTAATATAAATTAATCCTAGTTCAACAGCATGGTGCCTGTTGTGTGTCATAAAGGTCATGTGGGTACGTAAATGTCATGTGAGTACTCTATGTTTCAACATTGCATTGAATATTGCATGTTAAATTTCTGGAAGTCAACGGCTTGTGCAACAATATATCGTTCCTTTCTACCCAACGGATGTAGTATGATAACCACGCTATCGTTTCGTCGAGGACCATCGACGGACAAGAGAACGACGAAACGTCAGCTTCTTTCTCCAAATTACACTATCGACCTGACAATTACCATTTTATTGCTTACATTCATTCTTTACTCTACGTTTCCTATTGCACTATATATTGCATATTCAATTTCCGAAAGTCTATATGATTCATATGCGCAAGTATATATGGTTCCTTTCTACCCAACCCTTTAGTATCACGTTCGTCCACTTATCCCGACGAGAGGAACGATGGACGAAGTGACAGGAGGATGCCCCAACAACTTGCTCTCTCCATCCTCCATCGACCGACCTCTCAATGTCACATTTATTAGACACTTTTGGTTTTTAATTTACGTATGTGCGATGCATATTAAATTTATCAAAGGCAAGGTCATGCGCAAGAAAATATCATTCCTGTCCCGTCCCGTCCTTTTCCGTCGTGGAGGGTCGAGCGACAAACTAACCAAAAGATACTGAAATGACAGTTCCTCTCGCCATCTTTATTGACCGAAATGTCATTGACCATTTTATTTGTGACATTCGTTCTATAATCTTCGTTTGCTTATGGCATTGAATATTGCATATTGAATTTCTGGAAGTCAACGACATGTGCCACTATACATATGTAATGTTTATTTCTACGTAACTTATCTAGTATCATGTTCATCCACTTGTTCCGATGAGGAGGGACGATCGATAAAATGACAGAACGATATCGAAACCGCTGGCTCCCAATCTTCCATCGACCGAGGTAAATAACAAATTGATTCGTCACCTTCGTTTTTCAATTTCCGCAGGAATAAATCTCATTAAATTTCTGAAATTGAGGACTTGCGTAACAATATATCGTTTGTTTCTACCCAACTTGTGAGGAATGATGACCATCCTCCTGTTCCGCCGTGTGTGTGTGACGAGCGAAGAACTGACAGGGGGATGTCGCTTCACTCTTAATTTTTCATTGACCGTCACATCAATAATCATTTTATTTGTCACATTCGTTCTTTAATCTTCGTTTTCTGACGCCATTTAATATTGCATATTGAATTTCTAGAAGCCAAAAGTGTGCAACTATATCGTTACCTTCTACCAAACTAATCTAGTATGAAACCCAACGTCTTGTCCAGTCGAGGTGAGGCAATTGACTTACAGACAGGAGGGTGCCGAAAAGCGTGTTTCTCTCTTAATCTTCCGTCGATAGATCTGTCGATGGCATATGAATTTGTCGCCTATCTTTTATAATGTACGTTTGCGCAATGCATATTGAA